GTCAGCTTTCCTGACAACTTTCAACAATTAAACTTTAGTTCAGGATACACAACATAGACTGAAAACTCATTGCAATGTGAAACATACAGTAGGTAAATAAACAATAAAAAGATACACTGAGCTCCAGAATACTGAAGATGCTTAAAGGTTAGAAGAGGAAAATCACAAAAGCTCCATCAATGTCTTTAATAAGACCAAATAACAATACAAGATGCTCCTGGCAACGCTGTTCACAAAAAAAATAATTATGAAACTCAAAAAGGCAAACTAAAGAGGCTAAATCAGCTGTCCTTATTGTCTTTTACCCTTTTATTAGCCAAGACTAAATACAAATTCACAGATTGATCAGATTTCATTTCTGTCTCCAAGTACACATGCTCTTTTAGATGGCACAGTATGATAGTTTACGGCTTACACAGAAGTACTCAGTCTGGAAGAAAGGCCCATATATTCCCGAGGAATTATGAATGTCATCTTATGTATCAAACTGTTCTTTTAACTATTACAAGAACTTCTTGGGCGATTCTTCTGATAAAGGAGCTTTAGCAGGTTCTGTCACTATGGTAACCATACACCATAGGGTTTTTAATCTTTCTGAAATACAGAGACAAGTAATTTTGAAAAATCAGTAATCTTTGACACAAGAAATTAAACTGACTAGAATTTAAAGCACATAAGTATTTGTTTTCTGACTCGCCTCTCATAAAAAATAAACATCTGCTTTGGCCTTTACAAATGATCAATTTAATCACAATTTAAGTAAATGCCACATTACAGTGGTGGCTGGCACTGCCTGTCTCACAGTTTATGTGTTCTAGTTTTGATTCTGGATTGGGACTCCCTGTGTGCTTGTTTGTAGCAGTGTGTTTGTAAGTACTCTGCCGTGGGCATTCTGACCAGTATGTAGTCCTGCCTTGCATCCCATACTTCTGAGATGTAATCATGAGAATCTGCAGGCATAAATCCATATTTTATGAAACAAAGATTCCTTTGTTGTGATACTTTCTACTGTTGAATTTGGTTGATTTTACATATAAGATGCTTAGTAGTTTCCTACTTTACACAAAAAGCCTTTCATAAGATTTACTGTTTCAAATGAATCTTTCTGTTGACTAAGTACTGAAACATACACAATATTTTTGTGATAACACCGGATATACATTGTCATCATTATTTATGTGAAGAGAGAGAATGTTATAAAAAAGCAGTCTCTTAAAAAAGTCCGTAATAATGAAGTTAATCAATGTCCACTTATTAAAGAATATGAGATCAAAGGTCACAAATATGTATTATGATAGCCAAGGAAAATTCCCAGGTTAATCATTTTCAATTTGTCTCAAATGCAGTTGAGTGTTTATTAAGACCTTTGGAATCTATATATTGGATCAAATCTCAATAACACGTATAAGCCCAGAAAAAATATAAGGCTTGGGTCAATAGTTGGGGGAGGTTTTCCAAACAATGAAACCTGTTTCTCAAAATTGCATTTCTGCAATGATTTTAACTCAAACATGTTTGCAAAAGCAATATATTTGTCCTTACTCACTTTTCGGCTGCAAACAGTTGTTGGACTGTTTTCTGTTAATACTTGCGCAAGATAAATCAGAAGCAGATTTTCTCCGTCACCACAAAACATTACTATAGTTTAGTGAGAGATGAAGATGCACCTCTACAATCCACTTAGTTGAAGTAAGACTTTACATGTTCACAAACCTTTTACTTTTTAAAGAAAATAACATTAATGTTTGTTCAACATTTTTCTACATGCATAAAATGTCTTGCTCCTTTGGCAGTCTACTAGTCCTTGGAAGCAAAAAGAAAAAAAAAATATTTAGACAAAATAGTTCAGAAGGAAACCAGTCAGGATAATGTAGTCAGGTGTCTTACTTGTTGTTGTTTGATCTGACAGCTACACACAAAATGCAACAGGTGTTCTTCTGTCCTAAGGCTATCCAGCCACAACAGGTGCTCCAGTGTCTAAATCACAAAAGCAGGTATTTCTCATTGTCAGTGAAAATTTAGATTTAAACTATTCAAGGCCACCTGTACAGTGTTCCTGTCTCCCACTGCTGTGACTGAATTCAGTTTTGAAGTCAATCCCATCTAAAAGATTGTGTTTAGTGGCAACAGACAAAAGGAAGCACCCTCGTTAGAAGATCAAGGGTGTTCTGTGATATTAACAATGTATATTAATTGTAACGAATGTAAACAATGTAAATGAATCTCTAAAATAAATTAAGCCCAGACCAAATTAAGTGTTACCTTCAAATGAAAGAAATGTTAGATCTTGATGGCAAGAAGCTTTCTTCTTTCCAAAGGAAATCTGTCAAATTGCAAATTATGATGGGGTTTGTAATTTGTAAGTGTAAAGATGGTATGGGGCTTAAATTACAAATAATAAAGGAAACTAAACACTTGGAAGGAATATTTCTAATCCATAATGTAGTGTATGTTGGCTGAAATAAATACATAGGTAGGTGGAATCTATACATTTAATTACATGTTGAATTACATAAAATACATACATAAAGTGTATATAAATACATATACGCACTTGAAATATATACATGAAATCTTGAAACAAATGATTCTACCAATACTTTAAATGTTGTCTGTGTTATTACGAAAATGTTGAGAGTAATGTTGTTTAAACACGTCTGTTGCTTGATTTCAAACTTAGCCCAGGCAATCATCTTTAAAGAATGATGCGCGGTCCCCCTTTTGCACATTTTCACCCCGTTCATACTGACAGAGCGGTGCCAGATGAATACAATTTTTGAAAATGGGATTGTGAATGAAGTTAATCATAATCCCATGGCTTCAATGCATGTTAATCACGCGCTCGTTAAGCATCGTAGGCAGGGTAATGCAAATCAGAATCGATTCCAGACAGACATTTAAAATTGTTTATTGGGCCAAAAGGTTTAGTAGATTAAGGGTGTTGATGCCTTCCATGAACAGTCCAAGCAGAGACAAATTATACGCTTTGATGGGACAAACAGGGCTGGTAAATGCTGTTGTGAATCTGACTGGTACCCAAGAGAAAACTCCTGCAGTTCGGTAATGTTATTTAGAGTACTTACACTGCTGAATGAAATTATTCTGCTGCTGGTCTCTGTATCAACAAGAATTCATCTTAATCTCTATCTTCATAGTTTTCAACAGAAGGCTTTTCAACCACAGCATGTAAAAGTGCTCCTAAATGTAAAACAGTAACTACTAATACAACTCGGTAAGTAACATAAGTTACTAACGTAAACTCTTCCTTCACCCTAAAATGCATACGGGGGGGTTGCACACTGGGGTAACACTTGACTTACAGGAGGATGTGTTCTACAGGCATTTCACAATACATCATTCTTCTCACTTTTAGGAAGAAGGTCTTTCACAATGTTCGTGATTAGGTCACACCTACTTCTGCTTATCTTCAAATAAATATCACCCTTCTTGTTTACTCACTTGTGTTTGCTTTTTCATGTTCACCCTTAGAGAGTGGCTCGTCCCTCATTAAAGGGACCTGGGGGGTCCAAGAGCCCGATCCTAATGGTGGGTTGTCATTCTACTAAGCCAAGTGAGTTACCCGGATAAAACTCAATATGCGAATCATATTACAGTTATTTGCATTTAGGTGCTAATAGATGTGGGAATTGTATATGATTTATTAGGTCACCATGGAGGTGACTTAACATATAGGGAGTCTGATATTTAAGGCTTCCTTTGTTTAACATTCAGAAATATTTTTTTACATTGAGGGGCAATTTTCCATATTATGGATTGTACAATGCTTTGATAGTCTTACAGAGAGCTTTGCAGGAATTTCATTGACATCGCTAAATATATTCAGTGATGATTTCTTAATAAAGAAAGCTCAGACAGGCTTACTGCATGTAAATTAATATCAGTCTGCAAGGCTGGAATGTATCCTATTAAAAAGATGAAAATCAAGAAATAAATGGATTGACACAAGTTAATCAGCAAAGCCTCTTCTCAACAGAGATGGTTAAAAATTAGATTTTGCAAGTGCATTTCCACTCTCTTGTGCTTTTTTTGCACATATGCTTTTGCAAGTATTATTGCTATCAAAACTTGGCTGCTTTCAATAAACAGCATCATTACCAACACACTCACATCCACGTGCGCGGTTCTGCTTCTTGTCTTGTGAAAGATTAATTGCCGAAGTTGCTCCCTGGTTTGATGGAGGGGACGTGTAGGGGAGAGAGGGGGAAGGGAGGAGGTTGGTGCATCCAAAACTGGAGTCATCACATGAATCCAGATGGTGAGATAAAAATACTGAGTCATTTAAGAGTGTATTACTCCAGGTCTATGACATTCCACTGTTACTGAAGAATCAGTGACAGTATTTTAGTTTTGATACTGTCTCTATCATTCAGAGCCGGCTCACATCGCCTGCCATCGGAGCCTTGTTTTGTGAGAGGAAGATATGTTATTGTTTTCCGTAGTGTAGTAATAAGCTTATGCCAGACTAGCAGGTTGGACGCAGTGGCATGCTGCCACAGAAAATGATTAGAAATGCAAATGTGTACAAGTTTTCGCATACATCACAGCAAGTCATTCAGAAGAGTGAAGCATACATTCGGGAAGCATGGTCCTATTTTTCCATTCACGTCAGTAGTCCAATAGGTCCAAGATAACATCTAACGTGTAACTTTTCTGTTTTGACCTTTGCCCTTATTGAGACTGATGTACCCTTCAGAGCAGTGGTCTAAAACATACGGTTAGAAAACTTTAAAAATTCCTTCATCAGGGACTGTTTCCCAATAAAATTAACCCCCATGCTTGATATATACTGTTTTCCTAAAATTTTTATTTTTTATTTTTAGTTTCTAGAGAAGAAAGCAGCACATTTAGCCTAAAAGAGTTAGAGAATTACAGTTTGAAGAGTGAAATCATTTTTTTAAATAAAAATACCATTCACCCAAAGGTCTACTGGACAAGAATGCAAAGAGAAAAGAGAAGCCAGGACTTCATTGGGGACTTACTTGCAGAGAACGTGGTTTCGGTGTGAACAGGGGGAGTGGAGGGAAGGAAGGATGGGTAGCCAACGAAGAAAGAGCGCAGGGAGCGCTCAGAGAGCAGAGGAGAGCGCTGAGATGGAATGTTCTCACAGCTTCCAACAGTGTTGTGAATCTTGAGGTTCAGGGGCTTGTTCTTTTTCTTCGCTCTAAACAGAAAATTAAACAACGTGTCAACCACATGACTAGATAGAACCACATGAAATATCGCATGTTCTTTTTCAAAAGCTACATGAACATCACAGAACTGAATGCAGGAATAAAGCAAGATTGGGGTACAGCAGCTATAAGGCATATAAGGTTGTGCAGTCGTTTTTGTAAGTAAACAATCTGCTTGAAAACCCAAAAGCTAAAGAGTTAAGCAATTCACTATCTGAGTAACAATTGGTAAAGATGTAATTTCACGTTTCAGGTGGTTAAGAGCTGTTATTTCATATCACCATGACTCATTCCAATGTGAAACACAACAATGCTGAAAGCTTAATTAGCACATGGCCTGCGAGAACAGTTTAACCTGACTGGAGAAGGTTCAGTCAGACTGTCCTTGGCCATATTTACAATGCCCTGGCCCCATTTCACTGCTTGCTTTTGATTAGCACTCACAATCTTTGCTGACCTTAACATTGTTCTTTTACAAAAGACCGTCAAGACCTTAGAAAATTCAACTGTTAGGAAATATTCTATTGCCAAATTGTACAAATCCATAGTAAAAAAAAAATTACCAGCCCATTTTCCACAGCTCTTGTAAGATAATTATTTTTCTCAGCATTGTAGGAGATGAATTTGGAAGACCAGGTTTTAATACTATTACAAAGAACTAGTATTACTATTAGTATTAGTATTAGTATTAGCTCAGCAGGTGTGAGCCTGGTCAGTACCTGGATGGGAGACCTCCTGGGAAAAACTAAGGTTGCTGCTGGAAGAGGTGTTAGTGGGGCCAGTAGGGGTTGCTCACCCTGCGGTCTGTGTGGGTCCTGATGCCCCAGTATAGTGATGGGGACACTACACTGTAAACAAGTGCCGTCCTTCAGATGAGACGTAAAACCGAAGTCTTTTATTATTATTATTATTATTATTATTATTATTACTCTAACTATTACAATGAAGCAATGTATTGCTTAATTAAAATACATCAATTAGATACAAGTATCCGTTTTCAAATACACTACAAGCACTAATAATAACCCCAAAAAGAAGATGTATACAGATGAAAATATAAAAGCCTGTATATCTCGTACATTATAGTACAGGTTACCATGACCCGGTCTCACTGTATAATTATGGAGCAAGTACGAAGAGTTTCTGTCACAGTATGGTTTGGAGGTGCATCAAAAAGTGATGTTGGTTTTGGAAATTTACAGTTTATAAAACCACTGCTTTGATCTACAATACTATCTCTTGCCACTCTATCTTGTCATCTTGTTCCAGTATATAAACAACCACTATTGGGGTTTCTTTTATACGAGTAGTAGCAATTCCTACCTGTTTACTCAAAGAACGAGCAGATTTTCACTCTTACCAGCTCTCATAAAGCACTGCCAAGATTAATCTTTTCTCTCATCTTTTCAGATGTTAAGTTTATATTTTTTTTGTTTCAAGAAATATGAGGTATTTATTTTTTATTACATTACTACTTGATTGTAAAAAAGGTTTGTGTGCTTTAAGTGTATATAGTACAGGATAATACCTAATGTTCTAATGACTACAATAACGTAACTACTGTACCACAAATGAGCTGGAGTGTTGTTGCTTTTCTACCTATTGTTTATGCATTGGTAACCTTAAGCATGTTACTTGATTGATTTATCAGGAATGTGCTGTTTTCATACTCAGGTACTATACTGTGCTACTGTATATTAACATAGGGTTTGGGTGTTTGAGTTCTGGAACTAATCAGAGATTATTACAAGAGAAGTAATGGGAATTTAATTTCTGTTATACAGGTTTTCACCTTACCTGCAGTTTTTGAGGAACATATTAAGCTCGTCTAACAAAGAATTACTGTATAATTGACAAGCCAGGGAACCTAAGTTTACTGTTGATGATCAGTCTCTCCCAGCCTGTTTGAGCTTCTCCCATCTGGAAGACTGTACAGGCCTATTACTAGCTGTTTCAGGAATAGTTAGTATCCTTCAGCCATGCAATGTTCGTCTAGCAGACGTTTACATAATCATGTTTGTAACAGTCTGCAAGTATGTGTAATATGCTTGTATGTTGTAAAGCAGTGGTTGTGTAAGAATCCTAATAGTGAGATGAAAGGCTGATTGCAGCATCAAAACAAATTTCTTGTGCATTCTGCCACTTGGCAAATAAAGTATGTTTTTCTGTAGATACTGAAATTATACTGTATTATTGTACCGTATACTGTATTTGTATTAACAAATATTTTACTTTCTCTCCAACAGTAGTTCATACCTTGGTCTGTCTTGCACCTTATGTCTGGCATATCATAAAACTAGAGAAAGCACTGTTTGTCTTTTGAATTTAACAAAGCATATTCACATTATTTGAAAAATACTTCCTCACTTATGTTCCTCACATAAGAACATTTGTTTGTTAGTAGTTAAGTGATCAAAAGTTCTGAGTTAACTGTTTCTTGAAATAAGATAGGGGAACAGCTTTAAGAACATGACTGGGTAGAGACTGTTTGAGACACCAACAACTCATTGCATAGAAAAGTACCTCTTGTTCTCAATGTTTTTGCCTTTATATTTTCTATATGTGTCTATATGGTTTCTATATGTGTCTTCCAGATTGTAATTCAACATCAGCAGCCATATCACTTCAAGCCAGATTGTATTTCAATGCCAGCAGCCATATCACTCTGCAACTCACAACTGGCAACCCACCGAAGCTAGCAGGTGTGAGCCTGGTCAGTACCTGGATGGAAGAGACCTGGGAAAAACTAGGGTTGCTGCTGGAAGAGGTGTTAGTGGGGCCAGCTGGGGGCGCTCACCCTGCGGTCCATGTGGGTCCTAATGCCCCAGTTTAGTGACGGGGACACTATACTGTAAACAGGCGCCGTCCTTCAGATGAGAAGTAAAACCAAGGTCTTGACTCTCTGTGGTCTTTAAAAATCCCAGGGCGTGTCTCAAAAAGAGTAGGGGTGTAACCCCGGAGTCTTACCAATCATGGCCTCCTAATAATCCCCATCTTGAATTGGCTTCATTACTCTGCTCTCCTCCCCACTGATAGCTGATGTGTGGGGAGCATTCTGGCGCACTATGGCTGCCATCGCATCATCCAGGTGGGGCTGCACACTGGTGGTGGTGGAGGGGATCCCCATTACCTGTAAAAGCGCTTAAATGGAGTGTCCAGAAAAGCGCTATATAAGTGTAAGCAGCTATTATTATTATTATATACAGGTATAGTTCAAGTTTTTGCAACCTGCAAAGAGACAATGCTCTGTAGTTGTAAAATTTCCATTGCCCTACAGTTGCCGAGTATATTGAATTGCTATTCCCTTCAAATTCAACTTAAAAATATACGGGTGATGCTTTAGTAGCTATTTAGTAGCTACCTTTAGTAGAGTGGAAAAACTAGAAAAAAGGGAGCTTTTAGAATACAGACAGGAACTAAAATGCCTTACCTTTAGTTGCATTTTTCATATGTGTAGTCTACAAAGATAATGGAGTCATTTCCTCATTTACTCTTTAGCATTTTTAACTTTTAAGGGTTAAGGTTAACATTTTTTCTACATCCTATATTCCCTTAAATAACAAATTCTTAGATAAGCAGGCTTGTTTATTTGATCCTGATCAAGATTTGAGGCTTAGCTCATCCTAGACAGCTCATTTAGGAATCCAGCATATTAAGTCTTTGTTAGTTTTATGCCTCTGGGTTATTTCTTCAACTTTATTCATGCAATTATACTTTGTAAGTAGCAGACTCATTTTAAAAAACTTAGACAATAAGGAAGCAGGCTGAGGGTATCAGTTTTTTTGCTAAATTGTTCTGACTACAATTCAGATAAAACTGCATTACGTAAATTTTTAAATCTAATTTTGCCCATTTATCTTTCTCCATCTTTCTTTCTACTGCAAGTGATGGATAAGTACCCTGATAGAAAAAGATAGCATGATGGACAAATTTATTTCATTGTTTGCCACCATAAGAGAAAATATCTCTCCCTTACCGGAACAAAACTGTCCTGTCAGATTTAAACAAATGAAACCCCAGTATCTGGAGACCATTTCCTTGACTGACTGTGAGTGTCAGGAAGCACTGAGTTCAGATACTTAAGAACCCAGCCAGCAGAATCAAACAAACCTCAATAACGTGATCTGATCAGGAAGGTAATGTATTGTTATGTTTGGATATAACCCACTTTTTTGGGGCTACGATTACCTGATCATCCTCTGAATGAGAATGTGAGAGTCGGACCCCCTAACTCTAAACCAACGGATTTCTGCATAATGTGGATGATAGTAGAGTTTTAGCTTGATGCATTCTGAGAAATGCTGGTCTGCGTGCCTAAATTTACACACTAGGGTGATTGGAGTGAATTGGGGTCTGTCCTTGACCCGATCTTTAGTTAAGAATTCCAAACACAGAAATCACAAAGTCTTAGAAGTATCTATAAACAGTGAAGACTAAGCCTGGTCACTGTATGCTCAGTTAACAAGTAATAATTTTATTAAGTGGATGTACAGATACCTACATCATTGATAGATTTTAAACCCATCTGCCCAACACAGTCTGTGGTTTTAAAAACGTCTAGCACCTGTATAATAACTATGTTTGTCTTTTAATTATATTTTCCTACCGTAAATTTACCATCTTGAAGGCTTTCATAAACACCTCGCAACACTTTAATTCTCAAAGTAAAGAAATGGATAACAAAATAAGGACATACAATGCTTTCAGAATTCTTTGTTGACATGTGGTATAAATGATTCACAGCAATTTCAAAGGAAAACTGAAAAAAATGAATCCCACAATATCTATGATCCCGAAAATAGGAAGCCCATTTGGTTTGGATATCTACTGTACCTAAAATTCCACATATCTTAACAGAATTTCAAATACTGCTGATATTGCAATATTAATTTAAAAGGCACCATGTTTAACAAAAGACATTTCCATCAAAACAAAACTCTTGATTTTGAACATAATTCTGCCACACTCTCTAAAAAGTGTGCTTTCCTCT